CGCGTGCAATTTAAAAAAAAAAAAAAGAAAGAAAAGAAAGAAAAGGGAATTGAAAACATGCGGCATACATATGCTATGTACCACTACTTAGCCATTCAAAACAATAAGCCCCTGAAATCTGATACAAAGTGGGTGAATATGGAAGATTCAATGCGGAGTAAAGCCAGCCAGCCTATGAAAGAGCAGCGCAGTGTCCCCGCAGTTCTGCACTCTGGCAGAAACTGAAAGGCCGAAAGGCATAAAAGCATGGAGAGCAACTGGAGATACAAGAGACAGTGTGTGGGGGCAGGAAGTGGGGTCAGGGAGAGAAAGAATGAGAACAGGGAAGCAGAACATTTAACAGCCACAAAGATGAAAAGTTACCTGTCAATGAAAATGTATATGGTGGGCCAGCAGGTGGCATGGTGGTTGTGGTGTTGGACTTCTCACATGGTCGACTGCAGTTCAAGTCCCAGGCCTGGCAGCTCGCTTTCTCATTCCCCTCATCTTTGGTGAATTCATGTGAAAATAATAAATAAAATAAAATTAAAAAACTAGCATCTTGTATTTAAAAAAAGAAAAAGAAAATGTATATGGTAACAATTTTGACTGGACCAATATACAATGTATTCATGCTAGAAGAAATAAAGTAAATAAATAATCATTTATTTAAAAAAAAGAAAATTAAATAAAGAAAATTATTAACCTCAAGAAAAATATGAAAGGAAATAATGATATTTCTAATATACCACAACAGTGAGTTGGGCATACTTTCATTTCACAATAATGTAAACACTGAATATTGGTCTAACCCCAAATTACAGTATTTCTATACTAATAGTATGGAGCAGGGGGGGGGACAGCGAGGTCAGAAGTATGAGAGCTAAACTTTTATCCCTACCTAATAGGATGTTAATAGACAATATCTAATATTGCTGAAGCAATAAACAGCATTACACATTTACTAACAGAATTCTAGAATTAAGAAAATACCATTGGGTTGGCAGTTGGCATAATGGCTAATTCGCTGGACTCCCATGTAGTTGACCACAGTTTGAGTCCCAGACCTGGTTAAAACTCATGCCAGTGCGTGTGCATGTGTGCCCAAGATCCCGAGAGGAGAATGGAGGAGAAGGGATTGCGGCATGGCCATCCTCCCTGGAGGGTGATTTCTCACTTTCTGTCTATCTGTCTCTGTCTTTCTGGCAAGTGCACGTGCCCTATAGCAAAAACCTCCCCCCAAGAATAAGAAAGAAAGGAAGAAAGAAAGAAAGAGAGAGAGAGAGAGAGAAATTACCATAAGCAGCAGCAAATAGAATGTAATTGTTTCCTTCTAGAAGAGGAAAAAGGGAAGTGAGAATGTGTGGGACAGTTACCTTTTCATTTTATGGGCCTTCTAATTCTATTTGACTCTGAAACCAACATGCACATATCATTTGGATAAGAATAAGTTTTAAGCTCAATGTTTTATCAGATTTTACTAAGGTTCTATGAAAAGTAATTTCACTGATAGAGTCTTGTTTTGTAATAAACAAAAAGATCCCAACGAATATGAAATTAACTATAGAACCATCTTGAGAAATACAGAGTTGATTTTGGAGATTCACTCAACAATGGCTATTGCTCAGGAAAGCTCCCCGGAAGTGGATTATAAATCTGACTGTTGTGCTTTACACAGAAAAAGGTCTTAGGGTCCAAGGATCTCAAAACCGTTTGAGGCAAGAGTGTGGAAATCAAACCAGGATTTTAGATTTTTCTAAGGCTACCACTCTGCTTCTTTTTTCTACATGCTCAAGAATTATCCTTATAGCTCCACACAGTTTCTTGAGCTCCTCTGGATGATAAAAGCTATGAAAGGCTTTCTTCTCTTTTTCCTTTTCTTCTTTCTTTTTAAAGTTTTTTTTTTGCCTTAGAGCATGTGTACTTGCCAGAGAGAGAGAGAGTGTGAAAGAGAAAGTGAGAAATCACTGCCCCCCAGTGGGGATGGCCATACCACAGTCCCTTTTTCCATTGTCCTCTCAGGATCTTGGGCACCCATACACATGCCTGGCATGAGTTTCAAGTAACCAGATCCAGGACTCGAACCATAGTCGGCGTGTGGGAGTCCAGCGACATAGCCCTCGGCTAGCCCCAAAAGGTGTCATTTTCTTAGGTGTTAGACTTGCAGTCAAGATAAGAACTTATACTCAAAATTATCTGAAATGATGCAATTTTGATCCATTCTTCAGCTCAACACACATATATTCATGGACAGCTATCACGTTCAAACCAGTGCCAGGCCCTGGAGATATGACAAAGAATTCATCAAAGGTCTCTGGTCAAAGGACAACAGCTTGGGAAATGAAATTCTTTTTTTTAAAAACGTTTTTACCGTAGGGCACAGGTGCTCACCAGAGAGGGAAAGTGAGAAATCACCCTGTAAAGGGGATGGCCAGGCTGCAACCTCTTCACCATTCTCCTCCTGGAATTTTAGGCATGCATGCCACTGGGTCAGGACTTGAACTGTGGTCAGCCATGTGGAAGTCCAACATCTTAACCACCATACCATCTGTTGGCCCTCGGAAATGAGATTCTTACAGCAGCTAGCAGGACTATCACCTGTAGTCACTAAACCCTCCCATTCCAAACATCTTAAAGTTCTGAATGTTTTCTCAGAAAACGCCCACACTTCCCTGGCTCCCTGGTCCCCAGGCTAGGAAGTACACAAAATTTTACTTTCACTGTAATTAATGTGGAGGGTACAAAAAAGACAAATTGATGCTTTTAACAGGAAAACTACAATTTGTGAGGAAGCAGGGCTAAAATAAAAGAGGCAGCATTTAATCTAAACCACTTCCTGTGACTTGGATTTCTTTTTAAAAAATTGGCCGCCTTATCATTTTCTTAGTCACCTTTTCTCTAGGCTTATTGGAGGCGTAGTCCCTCCTAGCAACTTCCCATCTGCTGGAAAACAGAACCCAGAGAATGAGGGGTCGTGATGACACATCCCTCCCTAGATGAAAATATTAGGGGGAAAGCAATAAATGCACTACCATTGGCATGAAACCTATCCATGCCCTCTTCAGACTAATGAAATGAATTTTGCAACACGAGGCAGCAGCTGTGCTTTGCGGCTCCTAGTAATGAAGGGCATTTGAAACAATCCACAAACCACGGCCACTCCTAATTGCTAAGCAGCCACGTTGGCTTTAGTCTGTCATTAAAACACTCTCATTGTGGGGCAGAGAAAGACCTATGGAAGAATCTTTATTAAAGACTCATCTGGGGGCCGGCAGGTGGCATGGTGGTTAAGGGCGCTGAACTCCCACATGGCTGACCTGGAGTCCCGGACCTGGGGGCTTGCCTTCTCACTTTCTCTCTGTTGCTCTGTTCCTCTGGTCAAATTTAAAAATGAGTAAATAAACAAAGATAAATAAAGTAGTTCTTTAAAAAAAAAAAAAGACTCATCTGATGGCTCCTCTCTGATCAAAATGCTCTTCGGTTTCTGCTTTGATTGCTCTAGTGCAGATCCTTGGCATTTCCAACCGTTTGTTTTTTTAAGTCAAAACTAGTCTTTTCCTTTTTTTTTTTTTCCCCCTGACGGCTCTCACTAAACCATTTAGGGGGATACGATGGCAATCGGGAGCTTCCTCTCTTGTACGTTGGTCTCCGGCTAGCGGCAGCCTTTACAATGGCCAAGCAAAGCGACCTTCTGCCGAGTGGTCGGTCCGCCCGTAGTCTTCGCATAGACAGCAAGCCGCTGAGGTTCCAGAGTCCGCGGTTCGCGGCTCCAACGAGGGCAGCGTTGGCGGCCGCGGCAGAGTGGAAGCGGATCTGCCTGGATTTGGAAGCCGAGACGTGGAGAAGGTGGAGAATAGGAATCATGTGTGTTCCTCGAGCGTACAACCCACATTTGAGTGACAAATGACGGGGACCACCTCTGACAACCACTAAGCCCAAGTCCGCCGGCCTCCATCGCCCTGCTGAGCGTGTGCCTTTGCAACTAACTTTGGGAACTCGTGGACCCCGCGTCGCTCCCCGCGCCGCCTCGCCTCTGCTTCGGTTTCCCGCGCCCTGTTCGCCCTCTTCGGCGTCTCTAGGCTACGGATGGAGGATCCCTTCAGCCCTGCAACTGTGTCGCCAGCGGTCAACCTCTCCGTACCCGTCTCGCTCGGCTGGGGTCTCAACGTGACTTCGGGGCAGGGAGTCCCCGCCCCGGGGCTGCAGCCGCCGCAGCCGCCACCGCCCAGTCGCCGCGTCCGCCTGGTGTTCCTAGGGGTTATCTTAGTGGTGGCGGTGGCTGGCAACGCTACGGTGCTGTGCCGCCTGTGCGGTGGCGGCGGACCCCGTGCAGGTCCCAAACGTCGCAAGATGGACTTCCTGCTGGTGCAGCTGGGGCTGGCCGACCTGTACGCGTGCGGGGGCACCGCGTTGTCGCAGCTGGTCTGGGAGCTGCTGGGCGCGCCCCGCCCCGCGACAGGCGACCTGGCGTGCCGCTTCCTGCAGCTGCTGCAGGCGTCGGGCCGAGGTGCCTCAGTCCACCTCGTGGTGCTCATCGCTCTCGAGCGCCAGCGAGCCGTGCGCCACCCGCAGGGGCGGCCACTGCCCCCGCC